GCTCGAACTCGGCTATTAATTGTACAGAGATTGTAATACTGAAATAAATTTCTCAGCCATACCCTTCAGGGAAAGGCAGCGCCAGAGTTTAGAGCGGTCGGCTGAGTCGAAAGCAGCTTCCAGATCAAGGAAGATAAAGATGGTGGGTCGACGAAAAGAGTGTGTTCTATAATTTGACAAAGATTGAAGATGTGGCCGATACAACTTCGAGCAGGTCTAAAACTAGTCTGGTTCGCACGTGTGCACTCTTCATGTGTGGCAGACAACCCTTAGGGTAAAATGTCAGCGAGAAGTTTACAGACAATGTTGATCAAACTAATTCCTTTGGTTCTCACAAGAGGACCTGTCGCCCTTCTTGTAAATCGGTATGATCACCGATCCACATTATTAAATTGGAACCTGTTCCCTCCCCCACACAGAGCCCAAGAGTTTAGTTGACTCCAAAACCACGGTTAGACCTCCATCCTTAAAAACCGATGGGGACAGCCCGTTGAGGCCTGAAGCCGTTTGAGATAACTTATTTCCCGGGTAACATTCAGGTCAGATGGAGGAGTGATATCAACTGGCAGTATTTGCACAGTGGAAATTGGAGGTCTTCTGCTGACGAGGGCCAGCTGAGCTGTGCCTTAAAATGTTATGCCCTACGTTCAAGACGGCGTTGCTGAATTTGAATCAGTGGGCCGTGAAACTTCTTAATTACCTCACGCCTGCTTTCCTTGGACCTGTACTCCTAATTAAACGAAAAAGATTGCGACTATTGCCGATAGCCACAGTCTTCTCCATCTCTTTACACCTCCCTACCCACTACTTCTCGCGTTTATTTCCCAGACTTTTGATGAGCTGGGGTTTACTGGATTTGTGCGCTTTGTCGTAATTCGATTTCGAAGGAATGGCTTTACGAGCGTCCAGCAGGGCAATCGAAGACGGAGAGATCTATCATTTTTTATTTGATCGTGCGCCGGCATTCGCCGTTTTTTTATCGACGTTTAAATCGCTAATGGTTGGGCTGGGAAGCGATCTGATAGTTCCGCTTCGAAGGCCGATTTGCAACCATTGCTGATACTGTATTGTGCGCATCCGTTTTCGCTGGTTTTTGCAGTTGTTCACTAGGCGTAGGGAGAATCTCACTCGCAGCAGAGCATGTTCCGTGCCCACGGGAGTTAATCAGTAGGAGCGGCAGTATTCAAAGGATCCACGCCAGCGGTGGTTGATGGCAATGGGGTCGATTTGAGTTCAGCGCTGTGAAGCGATTGGCGGTCTCCATGTAAGACAGTGTCGCTTTTTGTGCGAAAAGTTTGTGCTTGACAGAAACAGTCCGTCATGGACAGAAAGTTAGAGTAGGCGTTCTCCGTTATCAGTCCTGTTGGTTGGGATTGCATGTGAACCACCAAGTAGCCTTTCTGATTCGTCCAGGGAACCCACTTGAGCATTGAAATCTCCAGCAATTACCACAATATCCGTTGACCGAGCACTATGGAACAGTTGAGAGGTCCTTGTAGAATTCATTCTGCATTTCAGGTGAATGGCAATCTGTCGGTGCATACGCTGATACGACGAATAGGCATCGAAGTTTCGTTCTGTAGCTGTTGATCCGTACCGTACCATACACAAGTACAGCGCAAAGTCAGCCGTTAACCGGGATTCCATCGAGAAGTGAACGCTCGGCCTTGACACTCAGTGCAATCCCAACACCAGCAACACAGTGAGCTACGGATACCGAATCGTCTGATAGTGTGAAAGTGAAACGTGACGATGTGGTTGGATCTGGAGAACGCAAGATGACTGAAGTAGGGTCTTGTATACGTGTTTCGGAGACACAGCATACATACAGCTTGTTGACCGATCTGGTAGAGTGTGCACATATTACATCCGGCTAAGTGGAAGGAAGATTTTGGTTTCAAAAATCTGATAGCCTCTGAGTGGTTGGCCTGATTTGTTGAACACTGAGTGATATCCCATAGGTGGCGCAAACAGAATGCATCTCTCAAGGTTTGGGAGTGAGACAAGCAAGTGAACTGTTGAGAAAGATGGTTTTCCAAATGGGTACCTAAGACTTTTGGGCACGATATTCTTCGCGGTTGCCCACACCGACGAACGGTTTTTTCTTTGGGAACCCTAACCGGAGCCCTCGACTCAAAGGTCTGACCCACAAGTCAGTGGGGCGTAAATCCAACGCGGGAGCATCAACAAAGCACCCGTGTGGGAGCTTCTGGAGACCTGTCACGCAAAGCCTTTGAATTTCGGTTCAGTGTGTTGTTCGTTGGTGCATTGATTATCGGTCCGCTTTTCGGGATCAGCCCTTAGCCTCTGCACCCAACGAGACAAGCGGAATGTGGACGGGACAGCACCTTATTGGCTGGGGGGTGCCCAGCTTGGGCGGGCNCCGTCTAGAGGAAGCCCCAGGCACCTCGCTCCTACATCCAGCTAGCGGGGTTTTTTGATCGATTAACTGCCCTCACCGTGTTTATTTACTGGAGTGACCTCTCAAGGGGCGAGCGTTTATAGATGGAGGCCAGGAGGTGCTCAAGCAGCTAGCCTTGTGATGCTCAGCTTCTTTTGGCATCTACCCGTTGACCTTTCAGGCATGATTGGTTCTGCAGCTGTGAGGAGCCATCCTGTATAGCTCGCAGGGTCATTGAGGTGCGCAAGCCATCACACCACGCCAAGGTGCAGTCTCGTCGTGACGGAGAAATTGGAGTAGATCAAGTGTGCTGCTCGACGGTGGGGGGGGGGANGGGGGGGATGTTCCGCAACATGAAGATGTGATAAACTCAAGCCCGGAGTCGGAAACTCACATGAGGATAGATATAGTAAGACCAACTCGGTGTTCATTTAGCAAAATGTTTCGATTTACCAAAAAGGAAAGCACGAAAGGGAATAAAACAGAGAAAAAAGTAAACGTATGTAGAACAAAATCAATCAAGTATGATGGAGCGCACGCGAGGCAGGTACATGAGTATCGATGTGGCAGGAAAAAGTGAGATAGGGGCGGGGGATGGGAGGGGGCTGCGAAACACGCGCAAATGGAACCAAATAAACGGTAAAAAGTGAATGAAACAGACTAGAATGCAATCACACAAATTTCGCTCGACACTGGTCAACGAGTTCCGGCTGTGTCGGTATAGGACGGTGAACACGAAACCCACTGATTTTGTTCGGATGTCTGTCCGTATGACCAGATTGTTCAGTACGATTTGATTGGGAAGTGTGGTGGGCGGATGAGCGAGAGGAGCAGAGGCACGAAAGAATCGTTTGGAGACTGGCAAACCAAAAAGCAACGACAATGTGAACAAACCGGGATGAGTAAGTATCTAACGTATACTTACGATGGCGCAGTGCGAGTAAGCCGGAAGAAAAAAATATTGTTCCTGGTAAAATATGGTTGAATAAGCACAAAAGGTCACGGACGATCCGCGCAGCTGTGTGACCACAGAGGCCAAAACACAAGATGGTCTGCGGATGTGTAAACTACGCGGAACGAGTGGACAAGGAAGGAGGAGATCAAGAGTGTATGTGTGTTGGATAAAAGAACAAAAGAGATTGCTTCACGGTGAGAAACAACGAACGGGGGAAAGAGAAAAGTGGATCGGAGCTGCCGTGATCAACCCCACAGACCCAGGTTGAAATGCGATGGGCAGATGGATTAATGGGTATGATGTGTAGTGAATTGAGACCATGTATGTGTGGCATGGACGAATGAATGACGATGAACAATGAATGAATGAATGAATGGGTCCAGTCCGGGTGAACGGACCAGATGAATTGCAGCCAGGAGCTGAACAATGGGGCAAGAGTCCGGACTAGAAACGAAACGAGTGATGGGTGTACGTGTGCTGTAATGCGACGAGAATGAAAAGTAATTAACAGTGCTAAAGTACATGCAAGATCGCATAGCGCGGTCTGACTGATAGATCAGTATCGGTTGTTTTGTCCCCTGGGGGGGGGGGGGGGATCGCCGGGATAAAGACGGTGGGGGTGGATAGCGTATACAGATGAGAAGGAGAACTGTCAAGAGATCAGATGTAGATGTGGTGGAGTTGAATCCAGCAACGAAGTTATATGGAAAGTACCACTTGGATAAATTAGGTCAGTATGAACTGTACAGCCCCAAGCACGATCGATGGAGAAACGACGCATGTCCTTCGAAACGTTTGAAACTCGAGGTGGTGATTTTGGGCAGTTAGGACTGTTGGTGGAAAAATATAAATGAAACGTATTAAAAATGAGCCCCAAACAAGGGGTATATGACACAGAAAACTACACAAAAGCAACAAACCAACAAAAATATAGGTAAAATATAGGAAAATACTAACTTGACCCGAATCTCCATCCACCTGGAATGGCCGCGAGGTCGCTGATTCGGCAGCAGCATCTGAAAATGTGGACGTTGCTACCGTTGCTGTTGTCGTGTTTGTTGCTGAGGGCAACGTGGATTCCGCGCCGACAGCGAGAGTTTCTGCAACGAAAACTATTGGTGCCGTTGAGGAAGGCACAGGGAGTCGATCCAGTCCACTCACACTGTGTCCACGACGTTGATACCGTTCAGAGCGATACACCGGGCGACCTCGAGGGATAGAACTGCTGGATCGGACAACAGTCTGCTCGCTCGATCGCGTACGGCGACGCTGTGCACGCGGAGCAGGTAGTACAGCAATCGTAGTGTTTGAAGAGGACACCATTGTGGTACGTGTCCCGTCACCACCGGAACCGTCTCTGTTATTGTTGTCTGTATCGGCATCCTCAGGTTTAGAGGTGGTACCGGGTCGTGTGAGCGGTGATTGATCCAGGTTGTTTGGACTTAAATCACTCCATTCAGCAGACTGGTCTTGCAATGTGGGTGACATTAAATCACCTCGATACTGAGAATCACGAATGGCGTCCGACACGGTAGTAGTAGTAGTCTCAGTCTCT